CTACTGCTACTACCACCACTACTACAACTACCACCACTACTCCTACTACTACTACTACTACGACGACGACGACGACGACGCCGGCGGCGACGACGACGACTACTACTACTACTAGTACTACCACTACCACTACCACTACCACTACTACTACTACTACTACTACTACTGCTACTACTACTATTACTATTACTTGTGCCTTCTTATATACAGAGACATGCCAGAAACACAGAGACTACGAAACAGACAAATTACGTCAGGGCCGGGCCTGAATCCGTGCGAAATGCAAGTGTAGCTGCCGGTTGGACCGCGATGTGCCCAACATCTCACCCAAGCGCGGTAGAAGTCCTCGGACACGGTGACAACAGCACACCAGCCAGGCATCGGGCAAGCAGCACAGGAAGCGAACAGACCCTCTGGGCATTAAGCCAGCAACGTAAGAGAGCGATGACGTCCTGAGGTGTGGACACCTCTAAGAAGACCTCAGGCTGCCGCTGATACGACGCCCAGGTAGGCAACACCAACATCATGCAACATGCAGACAAAAGCGAAGCTAGAACACTGTCATGCACCACCCGATCCCGCCGTAAACATAATGAGCAATTGGAAAAGGGAACAGCGCGTCTGCAAAACCATGACTCCATTCTGCGCCTAGGCGCATATCCAAAATGCCGCTTTCGACTCTTGTCAATGGGCATGTAAAAGAAGCGCAGTCTGGACACGTCAGGAAAGATAGCATCACAGTCTACGCCTGCGCTGCGCCTGGCACTGACATGTGTCGTGACAGAGGATGCATGCAAAAAGGACGCGACTGCCTGTGCAACAGTTCGAGCTCGCGCAGCTTCTCCAGCAGGAAGACGGACTAAGTTGGAGATTTAGGACACACTCTGTTGTGGGCAGTAGTGTGCACATGCACGACAACTTCGCGAGAAAAGTGCATACCCAATTGTCGATCAGGAAAGGGAAGAGAGCGAGAGAGATACAAAGAAAATCTCAGGGAGAGAGAGAGAGAGATGTAGCTAGATAAATAGATAGATAGATAAATGATAGGTAGATAGATGGATGGATGGATACATAGATAGACAGATAGATAGATAGCTGGATAGCTGGATAGCTGGATAGCTGGATAGCTAGATAGCTGGATACCCTCCCCTCCCCTCTCCCCTCTCCTCCTCTCCCCGAAATGAAAAAAAGAACCTGATAGGACTCATAGGACCCACGAACCCGAATGCGGTTACGCCACCCATGAATATGCAAAACAGCCTGACATCTCTCCTTTCCTCTCTCTCCTCTCCTCTCTCTCCTCTCTCTCCTGTCTTTCCCCTCTCCTCTTTCTCCTCTCCTCTCTCTCTCTCCTCTCTCCTCTCTCTCCTCTCTCTC